CGTTAGACAAAAGACCAATACAAAAAGAGGCTGACTTTTCTGATGTCAAACTAAAGGGGCCAACTGTCCCAATTTGCCCAAAAATGTCTGGTTTTAGCAATGAAAAGTTCCACATCTTTGGAAATTCCTTAGTCCTGGGTAAACTAGAATAACTGTTCACCCTTTCTCAAACAATTTTCTGGACAATTAAAATTTTAATTTAAATAGTAATCTTTTCAGTTTTTATGTAGAAAAAGACTATGTTCTTTCTTCCACCCATTTTGATTGGTGCCTCTCAACTATTCTTTTCAAGTTGTCTATGCATTCATTTAAACACAGTTAACTGTGTTACAAGTTGATATATTTTTCTGGAGCAATCTGCCAAGATATACTGAGAAATTTAAAAAACTGTTCATAAATCTTAAGAATAGTTCTATTCCTGGGAGTTAATCCCAGGGAAATCATTATAGATTGCCCAAAAATGTGCGGAGAAATGGATAGTCATCATAGTGTCATTACACTAAAATACTGGAATTTACCCAAAATGTCTAAATCTGGAGAAATGGATATATAAATTATGCTATAGCCATATAACTGCATGTTAGGTAGCCATTTTAAAAATCATGTTTTTGAAGAATATTTAAAAAGTTTGCGAAATATCGTTAAATTTTTAAGAAGTATTTCACCAACATACAAAGTCATTTATACAGAATGAAGCCATTTTAAAAAATATATAAATATGACCGGCCTGGTGCAGTGGCTCACGCCTGTAATCCCAGCACTTTGGGAGGCCGAGGTGGGTGAATCATGAGGTGAGGAGTTCAAGATCAGCGTGGCCAAGATGGTGAAACCCCGTCCCTACTAAAAATACAAAAATTAGCCAGGCATGGTGGCAGGCACCTGTAATCCCAGTTACTTGGGAGGCTGAGGCAAAGAATTGCTTGAACCTGGGAGGCGGAGGTTGCAGTGAGCCGAGGTAGTGCCACTGCACTCCAGCCTGGGTGACAGAGCAAGACTCTGTCTCAAAAAATAAATAAATAAATAAATATGAATATATGTATATGTGTGAATTTAAAATGAGACAATACATTGTTTATATACTGTATGCTATATGTGAATATACTATATATACGAACTGCATACTATTCCAAATTAACATAATACAATGCATAACTTGAGAATCTACCTCTGAGCAGTAAAATTATAGGTGAATTCTAATTTATTCTTTCAATGTATCTATATTTCTAATTTTCAATAATGAATCCTATTTTATACTTTGAAAAAAAGTATAATTTTTAAAAGACTTCTAATTTTATGTGATTATAAACAAGAAATAAATTGCTACAGGCTTTCCAAGAAATCAAGTTCATTATTTTATAGTGACATTCATACAAAAAACCCAAGATAGTAAGACTATACATGCAAACATAATGGGGAATAAAAGTTAAAGGTACAATAGACTGACGCAGAATTTGTTGAACATACATCTCATATAGAGTAGGTTCTATTACCTCCCAGCTATCTGGCTCCAAGAATTCTTTTTTTTCTGTGGCTTTCAAAAACTCCTCCAGAGTCACCAATCTGTCTTTGTTAGTATCAACCTGATTAAAAGAAAATGTATATATAATACAAAGTAAATCTTTCTCATATTATTTAGACACTATCAACTGTCTTGTAATAGATGCCACTACATAAACATACAGAAATTAGGACTCACCTAACATCCACAGAAACTGGAGGAAAAAAAATAACAGAGCACTCAACATTATACTAGAATTACAAAATAAATATCTTTCTCTTCTATATAATTCAAATTGGAAAATATGAGATGTCTATATACCTAATGCCCCCAAAACCACTACGTTTCAGTCAGCTGATCTGAGTGGTTAAGTGACTGGTATCATCTTCCTACTTTACCATAATATGTATAATCCCTCTTGAAGCCAAGTTCTTCAGTAAGAAAAAGAACCATTCCAGAAAGAGGACGGTTTTAGCCAAGAGTAAAGGAGGTTAAACTAAAATGCTCTCAACACTTTTTCTTAAAAAAACACAATTACCTAAATCAAAACTAAAGCTGACAACCTCTCCAAATCCTCTTGCATAGCTGTTACAGCCTGTGGCAAATTTCGTTACAAAGGTGTACTGTATAATGGTCAAAGAAATTCACTTGATAGTTGGGATGTCAGCAGTCAACAGACATCCCAATTTAGCATTTACAGCTCAAAAATTCAGATGAAAGTTACTGAAGCAAAATAGTGGGATTCAGTTACCCTGCATATGATGCCTGTATCAGAGTTTTTGGCTTAGAGGGAGGAGAGGCAGAGCAAGAACTGCAGAGAAAGGCAAATATTTAAATGAGGGTAGCCATTAGATGGACCATGGATATCTGAGCACAGACTCAGTGGAAGTAAGACCTTGTGATGATCTAAAAAGGAGTATTCCAGAAAAAAGAAATATTAAGTCCAAATGCTCTAAAATGGGAACAAGCTTGACGAGAGGTAAACATCAGAAGGCCAGTGTGGCCAGAGGAGAGAGAGTCACAGAGAGCAGGGCAAGGATGAAGTCACGAATCTTCTGGAAATAGGAGGGATTTGGGCTCATATTACAAGGGAAATTGCAAGCCATTGAAGTATTTCTATGCAAGAGAGCACATGACCTGATTTATGCTTTTAAGAGCTTACTCTGCCTACTTATGAAGAAGTGTCTGCAGTAGGGTAAGGAACAGAAGCAGAGATGCCAGTTAGGAGACTTGCTTGGACTTGATTGGTATTAAATAGTAGTGGAAGTGGGGGGAAGTGGTCAAATTCTGGATCTGTTTAAAAGATAGATCAAACAGAACTTATAGAGGAAATGTAGGATATGAGGAAAGAAGTTAAGGATGACTTAGCCTGAGCAACTAGATGAATTATGATTAATTTGTTGAAATGAAAAAGGCTGAGGAAGGAACAGATCTGGGTTTGAAGAAGATGTGAGTTAAACACAAGGAGAACTGTCAAGCAGATACAACCCTGGAACTCAGAGAAAGGAGACAGCTGAAGATAAAAATATTGAACTCACCAGCATACATGCAGATATAGAGCATATATAGAGACATGGGACTCCACACTACCACCTAAGGAGAGAATGAAGCTAGAAAGAAGAACATGGCCAAGGGATGGGCCCAGGGCAATGCAATATGTAGAACTTGGAAACAGGAAGAAGAGCCAGCAAAGAAGAGAGAGTAGGGTATGAAGAAATTGAGGAGGTGTGGTTTTCCAAAAGTAAGTGAAGAAACCATTTCAAGAAAGAGGGAGGCATCAACTGTATCAAATGTTGCCAAGGAGTCAAGTAAGATGAGACCACTGGACTTGACAAGATAGAGGTCATCCAATGGGAGGATTTTTAAATGGAATGATTGAGGCTACAGCACAGATTAAGACAAAAAGGAAAGGTGAAGAATTAACAGGAAGAGGAAGAATAGACAACTCTTTGAAGAGAAACAGAGAAATGAGGCAGTAACCAGAGGTCGTTTTTTGTTTTTGTTTTTCAGTACTGAAAAAAGGGTTTGGTTTGGTTTGGTGTGGTGTGGTGTGGTTTGGTTTGGTTTTGAGATGAAGTCTTGCTGTGTCACCCAGGCTAGAGTACAGTGGTGTGTGATCTTGGCTCACCGCAAACTCTGCCTGCTGGGTCCAAGCGATTCTCATGCTTCAGTTTCCCAAGTAGCTGGGATTATAGGTATACAGCACCACACCCGGCTAATCTTTGTATTTTTAGTAGACACGTGGTTTCACCATGTTTGCCAGGCTGGTCTCGAGCTTCTGACCTCAAGTGATCCACTTGCCATGGCCTCCCAAAGTGTTGGGATTACAGACGTGAGCTATCATGCCCAGCCCCCAAAAAAAGGTTTTATACCTGATATGCAGTAACATCTTTATCTTTTAGAATATTTTAAAGTAGTTACAAATTATTTTATTCATACTAAAGGCATCTAGTATAATAATCTGGATCAAAAATGCAAACTTCAGCCTGGACAACAGAGGAAGACCTTGTGTCTCCAAAAATTAAAAAGTTAGCTGGTAGCCTGGGCAACATGGCAAAAGACATACCATCTCTTAAAAAAAAAAAAAATTTCGGCTTGGTGTGGGGGCTCATGCCTGTAATCCCAGCCAGCACTTTGGGAGGGCAAGGTGGGTGGATCACTTGAGGTCAGGAGTTCAAGATCAGCCTGGCAAACATGGTGAAACCCCATCTCTACTAAAAATACAAAAATCAGCCAGGTGTGGTAGTGCATGCCTGCAATCCCAGCTACTCAGGAGGCTGAGGCAAGAGAATCACTTGAACCCGGGAGGCGGAGATTGCAGTGAGCCAAGATCGCACCACTGCACTCCAGCCTAGGTGAAAGAGTGAGACTGTGTCTCAAAAACAAACTAAAAAAAGGCTGGTGGCTCACACCTGTAATCCCATCTATAATCCCAGCACTTTGGGAGGCCAAGGTGGATGGATCACCTGAGGTCAGGAGTTCAAGACCAGCCTGGCCAACATGGGGAAACCCTGTCTCTACTAAAAATAAAAAATAAAAAAACAGGTGTGGTGGTGGGTGCCTGTAATCCCTGCTACTCAGGAAGCTGAGGCAGGAGAATCACTTGAATCTGGGAGGTGGAGGTTGCAGTGAGCCGAGATCATGCCACTGCACTCCAATGTGGGTGACAGAGTGAGACTCCATCTCAAAAAAAAAAAAAAAAAATTAGCTGGGCATGGTGGCTCCAGCTGGTGGTCCCTCCTCAGTCTCAGGAGGCTGAGACAGTAGGATTGCTTCAGCCCAGGAAGTTGAGGCTGCAGTGAGCCATGATTGCACCACTGCACTCCAGCCTGGGCAACAGAGCAAGACTCTGTCTCAAAAAACAAAAACAAAAACAAAAACAAAAAACCGCAAACTCCATTTAAATATAAATTCTGTATATTTTCCATCTTAAAGTAAGATTTATTGCAAGAATTAAATAATATATAGAAATAATATATTACCTTAAACTTTTAAAACATACCTCATTCATTACATGTTCCCTCATTCTAAGCCTTTCTTCTTCCATTTCTACCATATCATCCTCTTCATTTTTAGGGTCATATACTTTCTCCAACTAAAAAGAAAAATTTTAAATGAACATGAAAGGAAAGAAAGTAACAAGAAAAAAAAGAAAGAGAACAAGAACATTGAATACTTAATAAACTCATTTACCTCTTTAGTAAATAGGGCTTCTAATTCTTGCTCATCCAGGAATCCATCACTATTAACATCTGAAGTTTAAAAGTTACAAATGCAAAAATAGATTTTAATACCTTAGAAAATAATTAAAATACAATGATTTATAAAAGGTTTACAAAAGTAGTACTGATGTGAAGTATCAATAGAATGCAGAAAAGCATTTCTTCTTTTTCATGAAGCTTTAGATCAGCTCAACTGATAAATATGCTATATTTATTTGTAACTCATAATCATTCATGAGGAAAGCATATCTTGACCATTTTTTCCAAAAATATAAAGTAAAGCAATATTCTATGAGAGTAGAAGTAAAAGGTAATATTATAGTATAAAGCCTATCAGATATAACCTAGCTAGTCACAGTATACAGTTTTCAGTTTACAGAGAACTTTGCAATAATTCATATGACTCAACAGTAAAAGCCAGTATAAAGACACAGGTACTGATCTAAAATTTTATACTGCAGGTGAGCAACAAAGACTATCATATTACCCTAGAAAAACTCTAACCATTTACTCTCACTAGATAACTCAATAGCAGACCTTGGCAGAAATCAATTAAGAGGAAAGCAAATATTTTTTCAAACAGCAGATATAAATATTAATATTTGTATCAAATTGTTACCATGTAATTTGAAAAATGTCTTGGGGTCAAAGTCATTAGGATCCAATCCATCAGTCTCTTCCCATACCTCTTTTAGTTGATCTTTGCTTCCCTGTGAACCAATTTAAAAAAAAATTGCTCAAAACAAAATATAATCTATCTGTATAGACTCAAAATATAAATTTGAGGAACTTTGCGTAAGAATCAAGATTTCAGTACTAATAACACGATAAAATTCCGCTGATACAAAGAAGTATCTTTATCTAAAAATGGTTTCATAAAGTCACAATCCTTACTGGATGATTAACTTTAGGGTGATTTTCATGCTTTTTCTTCATTTCTTCAAATTTAGACTCTTCTTCTTTTCTCTTTTCTTCATTCAATGTTTTTAAATATTCTCTCCTTTCATGTTCCTTCATCATTTCATATTTTTTAAATTCTTCATGTCGAGTCTTGTCATAGTGTTCCAGATCACTTGTTGCCTGAAATACAAGCATTTAAGTTAAATAAAAACATGCATTTGAAAAATGTAAATAAAGCCATTCTTGAATATAGCATACTCTTGAACAGAAGTGGTACAGGAAAGCAAAAACATACTGGACTCCTCTTTTTTAATTCTACCATTTCATTTTAGTCAAGTTCTTTTATTTATTTATTTTTTATTTTTATTTTTTGAGACAGAGTTTCACCCGTCACCCAGGCTGAAGTGCAGTGGCATGATTTCAGCTCACTGCCACCTCTGCCTCCTGGTTCAAGTGATTATCCCACCTCAGCCTCCTGAGGCCTCGAGTAGCTGGGATTACAGGCACTTGCCACCACCCCCGGCTAATTTTTGTATTTTAAGTAGAGACAGGGTTTCACCATGTTGGCCAGGCTGGTCTTGAACTGCTGACCTTGGGTGATCTGCTCGCCTCGGCCTCCCAAAGTGCTGGGATTACAGGCGTGAGCCACCACGCCTGGCAATTTTCGTTATTATTATTACCAGAGATGTAGGTATTCAAATAAACTAAAAGTTCAAAGCTAGCCCCAACTTTAAGAAACTCCTCATAAGGAAGTAGTATATAAGTTGATTTCAAAAAAAAAAAAAGAAGAAAGGAACTATATCAAATCTAGACAGTATAGAAAACTAAAATAGCTTCTAACCATTGAACTAATCTAATACTTGCCAGGTTAGAACTAATTCCATTCACACATAATGTGAGAGGTCCACAAACTCGTATCTAAAATCTCTGAGGCCAAATGTGCTTCAGAATTTTCTACCTTAAAGAAAGGGAATATGGCATATATGCCATATTATGGAATATCCCTGTAGCATCTGTAATCAAACAGACTAGTATTTCTTAAGCAAAATCTATAAATACTCACACTAAGTAGGTTAAATAAAAACTGTAAATAGTATTACTGTAGTTGGTTTATTCAGCTCAGGTTTCAGTTTTTACAGCTTTTGGATTTAAGTATTGTGGATAAGGGATTTTAGACCTGTATGTACATATTAATATCTGTATTAATAAGGGTTAAGCTACCTTCCTTTAAAGATCTTCGACAGAATATATAAAAGTTATATTTCCATTTCATTGGGTTTACTTGTCAAATTACAAAATCTCAAAGGCACAATAAAGACAAAACTTTTTGGAATTATTCTCACCGCTTTGATTAGCATATCTAAATCTGTGGATTCAAACTTGTCAGGATTCAGGTGGTTTAGGTGATCAAATTGTTTTAGAAGAGCTTGGTGGTCCATGCCTATATCTGAAAGAAAATGAGAAAACCGTAAATGATCAATTTCTAGAAGCTAGAAAAATTATAATAATTATACATAAGAAAAAGATTTCATATTTATTCCTATAGGATTTTATGAGGAAATACAAAGTTTTAGAATAAAGGCTTATATTTACTTTATGAATATTGCATATGTTATTCTAGTCAAAGGCAGTGTCCTTGAACCTAGAGTGGAATACAATTTAATATGTGTATTTTTAAAAATTCTCTCTCCTTATTTCTTTTTGTTTTAATTTTTTTTGAGACATGGTCCTGCTCTGTCACCCAAGCTGGAGGGCAATGGTGCAATCATGGATCACTGCATCCTTGACCTCCTGGGCTCAAGCAATCCTCCCACCTCAGCTTCCCAAGTAGCTAGGACAACAGGTGTGCACCACTATGCCTGGCTAATTTCTTGTTTTTAATTTTTGGTAGAGACAGGGTCTCACTGTATTTCCCAGGCTGGTCTTGAATTTCTGGCCTCAAGTGATCCTCCCACCTCAGCCTCTCAAAATCCTGGGATTACCATGCCTGGCCTTATGCATATTTTATTTATTTATTTATTTGTTTGTTTGTTTGTTTGTTTGTTTATGATGGAGTCTTGCTCTGTCGCCCAGGCTAGAGTGCAGTGGCACAATCTCTGCTCACTGCAAGCTCCGCCTCCCGGGTTCATGCCATTCTCCTGCCTCAGCCTCCTGAGCAGCTGGGACTACAGGCACCCGCCACCACACCCGGCTAATTTTTTGTATTTTTAGTAGAGACAGGGTTTCACCATGTTAGCCAGGATGGTCTCGATCTCCTGACTACGTGATCCGCCCGCCTCGGCCTCCCAAAGTGCTAGGATTACAGGCGTGAGCCACCGCGCCCGGCCTTGCATATTTTAATGTTATATCTAAAACGACTACTTGACTATCAGCATAGTTAATAACAAACCCTTTTTAATTATCTTAAAACTACTAAATATCTTGCTTTTAATTAGATAAACTCTAATACAGTGTACTTATCAAAGTTTTAAGTAGAATTTCTAAAAATAATTGCTCTAAAGCTTACATGAAAGAATTCCTTGTATATTGCTCCAATGGATCCCTTATGAAACAATAAAAATCTAATTTAGGTAAATTCCTTTTAATTATGACTTATTTTTAAGGAAATATCAATTTTTTTAACTTTTAAAAAACAAGTTACAATTTACTACAGTGAAATGGGTGAAGTGATGCTGGATTGTTTCAGTTGTATTACATAGTGGACACATGTAATGGATACACAGTGGATATACACACAAGACAGCTCACCAGAAACAACACAATATGAGCCCTTATAGAATTGAGCAAAATGGGTACATTGTCGAAGCTGGAAATCAGCTCTCACTTAGGAAGAAGGAATATACAAATATGGAATGGTGAAAGGCAAGAAAGAAATTGGTAGATATGATAGCATTATCTGTGTGAACTCAGCATTTCTAAAATATGTACATTTAACATGTATATGCACATGTTTCACATGTATATGAATATGGATGTGTGTATATATGTGTATATATGTATAGACATGCATGTTTCCTAGCTCTGTGCAATTAAGGTGCCAAGAAAATACACTCCAGTAGCAAGGAGCGTACCTAGTGCCAGCTCTTGATCTAAAATATAGTTGCCTATTCAGAAAAACCAGTGCTCCTCAGAGGAATGGCTCATTCCACAGCTGGGGCAGGGTAGGTACAAGTTGATCCTGGAACATGTTGTTATGCCAGAAAGTGAAGAACTGCTAAATCTGGTTCAACCAAGTTTTCACTGAATTCTAAGTATGGCACTGTACTAGCAGTTCTACTTATGAAGAAAATACTTGTTTTTTTAAGACTTAGCCCTAAAAAAAATGACCAGACAGTGAAATATATAAAAAGACCCTTAACCTCCCTCAAAATAAGATAAATATATATTAAAACTGCACTGTTATACTATCTAACAGAATGGAAAACTCCTAAAGTTTGATGACACATGCCATTAGTAAAGTTGTGAGGAATTATTGCTGGTGGATATATGTATTGATACAACCTCTATGGCGGCAAATGTGGCAATATCTGTCAAAATTACAAATATATATAATTTGATTTGGCAATTCCACTGTGGGGAAATTATCCTACAGATAATCTTATATGGATACACAGTGACATATATACAAGATAGTTCACTAGAAATAACCTAAATGTCAATTGACAGGGGCCTGGCTAAATAAATTATAGTATATCCATATAATGGAGTTCTATGCAGCTGTAAAAAAAAAAAAAAAGAGAGAGAGAGGTGGTCTCTGTGTACTAATACAGAAAGATATTCAAAATATATTGTTAAAAGAAAAACAATGTACAAAAATGTGTATTTCCTTTTGCATAAAAAGAGAGGGACAATAAAAAAATTTTATTTGTATTTGCTTATATACAAATAAAGAAACTCAAGAGTCAGGCACAGTGGCTCATGCCTATAATCCCAGCACTTTGGGAGGCTGAGGCAGGAGGATCACTTGAGACCAGGAACAGGAGTTCAAGACCAGCCTGGACAACACAGCAAAACCTCATCTCAATGTAACTTAAAAATAAATAAATAGATAAACCCAAGAAGGATGGTGCTAGGGGACATTGGGAACTGACAGAATACAAAAGTATCAGGTAGATTTTTGCTCTATATTTTCTACATTTGAACCACGTGAATTGCCAAGCATGGTAGCTCATGCCTGTAAACCCAGCACTTTCAGAGCCTGAGGCAGGTGGATTGCTTGAGCCCAGGAGTTCAAGACCAGCCTGGGCAAAACAGCCAGACTCCATCTCAACGAAAAGAAAAAAAAAAAAAAAAACTGCCTACTTTAAAAATTACCCCCTCCCTAAAATTAAGACTTTGTAAGCCCTTCCTCAAAGTATCAGATATTTCAATTCATACTGAACCAATGAGAAAATATTCCTTAGTTTCTAAGTTACATCAGACTGTTTTCTTTCTTTTTTTTTTGGAGACAGAGTCTCACTCTGTCACCCAGGTTGGGGCACAGTGGCATGATCTCGGCTCACTGCAACCTCCGCCTCCTGGGTTCACGCAATTTGCCTTCCTCAGCCTCCCAAGTAGCTGGGACTACAGGCACATGCCACCACACCTGGCTATTTTTTGTATTTCTAGTAGAGATAGGGTTTCGCCACATTGACCAGGCTGGTCTCAAACTCCAGACCTCAGGTGATCCACCCACCTCGGCCTCCTAAAGTGCTGAGATTACAGGAATGAGACACCATGCCCAGCCTAGACTGTTTTCTTTATGCAATGAAATTCAGTACCCATCTTGGAATGAAGAGGATACTGTTAAGACTGAGGGGATGGAAGTTGTCCCGGGGATAGAAATCTCCACACATCTTAGGCCTGGCTTCAAGTATGGAATTACTGTGCATGCCTAAGTACCCCAAGTAGTATGGCATGATTCAATTTACTTCTCACTGATATCCTTAGTTTCAGGATGATGAGTATTTGGCATTTGTTTTCTAAGATTATACGTTTAAAATGTAGATTACTACACTCTTTCCCAGAGCCAGAATCTCTGGAGGTGAGATCTAGCAATCTATATTTCTAAAAAGATTTCTAGGAGATTCTCATGCATGCAATCTGAAGTTTTAGAACTACTATTCCAAGAGTTAAACGTTCAGATGTTTATTAATGACAACAAACCACCCAGATAACCAACCTATGGGAGGATATCACAAGGATGTATGAACCAGCTTGAAAGATCTCCCACTGGCTAAATCTACTCCTTGATTTTGACTCATAATTAGAAAGTTCATTCCAAGGTAATACAGGAAATTCACCTATGCTGTCACATAGTACTTTTGTGATTTTATTTTCTACATTTAAATCTTTAATTCATTTACAATTATTCTGATAAAGCATTATAAGAGATATGGCTTTAACTATACCTTTGTCCAAATGGCTAGCAAGTTATACCAAGACTACTTAGTTAAAAATTTGTTGGGTGTGGTGGCTTACACCTATAATTCCTGCACTTTAGGAGGCCAAGGCAGGAGGATCATTTGAGGCCAGGAGTTCCCTCAAACCAGCCTGGAGAACACAGTGAGACCTTGTCTCTACAAAAAAATTAATTAATTAATAAAAAATAAATTAGCCAGGCATGGTGGCACACTCCTGTAGTCATAGCTACTCAGGAGGCTGAAGTGTGAGAATCTCTTGAGCCCAGGAGTTTGAGGGTGCAATGAGCTATGATTGCACCACTGTACTCCAACCTGGGCAACAGTGAGACCTGTCTAAAAAAAATAAATTAATAATAATAAAAATAAAAACCTATCTTTATCCCACTAATAAGATATCACCTTTATATTAAACTAAATTATATTGTGTATTTAATTCTACTTCTGCAATGTCTATTATGTTTCACTGATCATTCTACTTTTCTGCCTAAGCCATACAGTTTTAATGACTGAGGCTTAGTGACATAATTTAATATTTAATATTAAAGATTTAACAGATATTAAAGATTCGATTTCTAATATCTAGTCCTTCACTGTTCTTTTTCAGAGGTATCTAAGTTTTCTTACTTGTGTCCTTTTTCTTTTTTCTTTTTTTTTTTTTTTGAGACAGAGTCTCACTCTGTCACCCAGGCTGGAGTGCAATAGCGTGATCTTGGTTCACTGCAACCTCTGCTTCCCAGGTTCAAGTGATTCTCCTGCCTCAGCCTCCTGAGTAGCTGGGATTATAGGCATGTGCTACCACGCCCAGCTAATTTTTGTATTTTTAGTAGAGACAGGGTTTCGCCATGTTGGCCAGACTGGTCTTGAACTCCTGACATCAGATGATCCGCCCACCTTGGCTTCCCAAAGTGCTGGGATTACAGGCGTGAGCCACCATGCCTGGCCTACTCATGTCCTTTTTCACATGCACTTTAAAAAACTCACTTGGCTAGTGCCAGAAAAATAATGTATATATTTTTAGTTGGATTGTGTTTAAATTATACATTAATCTAGAGAAAATTGACACGTTTATAACATTGAGTCTTTGCCTCAAAAAGTAATTGTGTCCTCCCACTTGTTCAAGTCTACTTTTGCATTCTTCATGAGTATTTTAAAGTTTTTGTCTGTCAGTTTTGCACATTTCTGAATAGGTTTATTCTGGACATTTTATCTCTGTTGCTATTGTAAATGGAGTCCTCTTCTTCCATTCTATGTTCTAACTGGCTGTTATGTACATATGGAAAATATTGATTTCTACGGATTAAGTTTACTATTATTTTCCTATTGAGGGGCTCAATTTTCCTATTGTTTATAGTGAATGTTTCCATTAATTATTTTCAGTGTTCCACATATATATAAACATCATATCATCTGTGAAAAAAGATGGTTTTATCACCTCCTTTCCAATTACTTTACCTCCAGATTCTTTTTATTTGTATAAATGTTTTGGCTAGGTCAGCCATGGTGGCTAACGCCTGTAATCCCAGCATTTTGGGAGGCCGAGGCGGGTGGATCACCTGAGGTCAGGAGTTTGAGACCAGCCTGACCAACATGGTGAAACACTGCCTCTACTAAAAATAAAAAATTAGCCGGGAGTGGTGGCAGGTGACTGTAATCCCAACTACTCAGGAGGCTGAGGCAGGAGAATCCCTTGAACCCAGGAGGCGGAAGTTGCAGTGAGCTGAGACTATGCCACTGCATGCTCCAGCCTGGGTGACTGAGACTCCGTCTTAAAAAAAAATAAAAAATACAATAAAAATTTAAAAATTAAAAAAAATATTTTGGCTTGTACCTCCAAAGCAATGTTATTTAGTGGTGGTTACAGTGGACAACACTGTCTTGTTTCTAATTTCAGTCAGGATACATACTTGTGCTTCCCCACTAAGTATGATGTAACTAAGTTAGATATAGCTGATTGTGTTACAGAAGTTATCTATTAATTAGTATTTTATTACTTTAAATTATGAATTGGTGTTCAATTTTGTCAAATGGATTTTCTGCATCCATGGAGATAGCCATATGACTTATAATTTTTTTTTCTTTTTTTTTGAGACAGTCTTGCTCTGTCACCCAGGCTGGAGTATAGTGACGTGATCTCAGTTCACTACAACCTCTGCCTCCTGGGCTGAAGAGATTCTCCTGCCTCAGCCTCCTGAGTAGCTGGGATTACAGGCACGTGCCACCACACCCAGTTGATTTTTGTATATTTAGTAGAGATGAGGTTTCACCATGTTGGCCAGGCTGGTCTCGATCTCCTGATCTCAGGTGATCCACCCGCCTCGGCCTCCCAAAGTGCTGGGATTATAGGCGTCAGCCATCATGCCCAGCAAGATAACTTTAAGATATCCTTGCATTTCGGAAATTCTATTTCATAGGTATTTAATCTTCTCATAGTCTAAAAGAATAAGAATTCTAATATTTGTTCCAATTTATCATTTGTCCTTTGACTTTATGACTTTTTTTGATACATCAAAATTTTAAAGATTTTTTTCTCCTTAGGACTATTTATATGATGATTTATAATATTAGATTTCCTAATATTAAGTCAATCTTGTATTCCTGAAATAAATCCAACTGTTATGAGATAGTATTCTTTAGATACATAATAATTTTGATTTTGGCATCAATATATAGCAAGAATGTGGAAGCTTTCCGTCTTTTTATATGCTCTGGAATAGATTAAATAGAATTGACAACCTGCTCTTTAATAGTTTGACAGAATCATTAAAGAGTAGACAGATAGTTTCCTTAATGAAACTATCTTATTCTGAGAGCCAGACATGGTGGCTTGCATATGTAATCCCAGTAACTCAGGATTACTTGAGGCCGGAAGTTTGAGACCAGCCTGGGCAACACAGCGAGACCGTATCTCTAAAAAATGTAATTAAAAAAACAATTAGCAGGGCATGGTGGTGCAGGCCTGTACTCCTAGCTACTTGGGAGGCTGAGGTGGGAGGACTACCTGAGCCCTAGGAGTTCAAGGCTGCAGTGAGCTATGATCATGCCCCTGCACTCCAGCCTGGGTGACAGAGGAAGATCTCATCTCCTAAAAGATTTTATTTAAAAAAAGAAAGAAAAGAAATGGTCTGGATCCTGTGTTTTTTTCTGGGGCTAGATCTCTGAAAAATTTTCTATTCCATGTATGAAAATTCTTCTAATTAGATTTTCTTTCTCTGCTTTCTTTTGGTTTCCTTTGATATTATTTTTCCTCCTTTAAACCAGTTGTTTAATTCATTACTTTTCATTCTTCCTTTTCATTGCTATAATTATGGCTGATTACATTGATTTTTGAATGATATAAAATGTATTATCTATTCAAAACATTATTAAATTCTAAAAATTAAGAGAAGCCAAATCAATACTAACAAAATTTTGACTAGAAGAACATAGATGGCACGTACTAATATAAACTGACCTCAACAACCAAAATTTTCTAGCCAGGCCTGCTGGCTCATGCCTGTAATCCCAGCTCTTTGGTCAAGGTAGGAAGATCGCTTGAGCCCAGGAGTTCAAGACCAGCTCGGGCAACATAGCGAGACCCTGTCTCTCTAACTAACAAAAAAATTTAGCCAGGCATGGTGGCACACATCTGTGGTCTCAGCTACTCAGGAGGTTGAGATAGGAGCATCACTTGAGCCCAGGTGGTCAAGGCTGTAGTGAACTGTGATTGTGCCACTGTACTCCAGCCTGAGCAACAGGGCAAAATGCTGTTTCAAAAGGAAAAAAGAAAAATATATATATTCCTACCTTTTGTTTAGCACTTACCTTGAAGGGAATCCAACTTAGCTTTAATTAACATTCTTAACCTTCCTACTTCTTGCCTTTTCAGTTCATCAAGTTTTGTCCTCACATGGTGACTTACTAAATCCAGTTCTTTGCTTAGCCTCCCACTCTGTTAACAAAATTAATAAATTAGTTTTATCTATTACATTTCATTTTTAGACAAATGCAACAGCTTAAAAACAGGGTTAAAATACATTAGTGATAAATACTTTTGACGAATTTAGATACATTTAGTAGTATAAAAAGAATTTCTTTCAAAAGATATTAGCTTTAGGGCTGGGCATGGTGGCTTACACCTGTAATCCCAGCACTTTGGCAGGCTGAGGTGGGCGATCACCTGAGGTCAGGAGTTCGAGACCAGCCTAGCCAACCTGGCGAAATACCGTCTCTACCAAAAACACAAAAATTAGCTGGGCATGATGGCGCACGCCTGTCAATCTCAGCTACTTAGGAGGCTGGGACAGAAGATTCACTTGAACCCAGGAGGCAGAGGTTGCAGTGAGCCAAGATTGCGCCACTGCACTCCAGTCTGGGTAACAAGAGCGAGACTCTGTCTCAAAGAAAAAAAAAAAGGCTACATGCGGTGGCTCATGCCTGTAATCCCAGCACTTTGGGAGGCCAAGGCAGGCGGATCACCTGAGGTCAGGAGTTTGAGACCAGCCTGGCCAACATGGTAAAACCCCATCTTTACTAAAAATACAAAAATTAGCTGGGTGTGATGACCCATGCCTATAATCCCAGCTACTCGGGAGGCTGAAGCAGGAGAATCGCTTGAACCCAGGAGGCGGAGGTTACAGTGAGCCAAGATCATGCCATTGCGCTCCAGCCTGGACAACGAGAGTGAAACTCCATCTCAAAAAAAAAAAAAGATTAGCTTTAACTCTAAAACCCAGATGTCCGAAAAACCATGTAATTTAGAAAAGCATCATTAAAGCACAAAGCAGAAACTCAAAAGGTTAAATTGTAAAATGGTGTAGCCACTTCAAAAAACAGTTTGGCAGTTCCTCAAAAAGTTAAACATAGAGTTACCATGACCCAACAATTCCATTCCTAGATATATAACTAAAAGAACAGAAAACATGTTGATACAATAACTTAAACATAATATTCATAGCTGCATATTCATACTAGTCCAAAAAAGCAGAAACCTAAATGTCAATATCAATAATGAATGGATAAACAAAATACAGTATACCAATACAATGGTATGTTGTTTGGCCATAAAAAAGTATAAAATCCTGACACATACTACAACATGAATGAACCTGTAAAACATTATGCTAAGTGAGAGAAACCAGACACAACAAACCATTTATTCTATGAGTCCATGTATACACAATGTCCGGAACAGGCAAATCCACAGAGATGAATAGTAGATTTATTGTGGTGGGGGAAAGGGGCGCAATTAGGAGTTACAGCTTAATGGGCACACAATTTATTTTGGGGACAATGAAAATATTCTAAAATTAGATAGTGGTGATGATTGCATGACTCTGCGGGTATATTAAAAAACTACTGAAATGGCAGGGTGCGGTAGCTCCCACCTGTTATCCCAGCACTTTGGGAGGCTGAGGTAGATGGATCGTTAAAGCGATGGAGTTTGAGACCAGCCTGGCCAACATGGTGAAAACCCATTTCTACTAAAAATACAAAAATTAGCCAGGTGTGGTGGCACATGCCTGTAGTCCCAGCTACTCAGGAGGCTGAGACAGGAGAATCGTTTCAGCCGGGGAGGAGGAGGTTGTAGTGAGCTGAGATCATGCCACTGCACTCCAGTCTGGGTGACAGAGCAAGAGTCCATCTCAGAACAAAACAAAACAAAACAAAAAAAACAGACAAAAAGACACTGAATTTTATGCTTTAAAAAGATAAATTTTATGGTATATGAATTACATGTCAACAAAGTATTTATTTATTTATTTATTTTATTTTATTTTATTTTATGAGATGGGGTCCAGTCTGTCACCCAGGCTGGAGTGCAGTAGCATGATCATGGCTCACTGCAGCCTCAACCTCCCAGGCTCAAGCAGTCCTCCCACCTCAATCTCCCGAGTAGCTAGGATTACAGATGCATGCCACCATGCCTGATTAATTTTTGTATTTTTTGTAGAGACAGGGTTTTGCCATGTTGCCCAGGCTGGTCTCGAACTTCTGAGCTCAAGCAATCCACCTACCTCAGCCTCCCAGAGTGCTGGGATTCCCGGGAGCCACTGCACCCGGCTTCTTATTTTTTAAAAAAGTTAAGTTGGTCAGCACCATTAGGGCTAAAAAGAACATTTAAATTAAAAGTCAGTTGGCCTCTATAAGCATTAGTCATTCCATGTATAAAAGTTTTTCAAAATTTATCTTTTTTAGGCCCCCTTTGATTACTTTCTTCATAGATGAGTGATTAGTAGGAAAACTAGAATATACTGTTACAGAATCAAAAAGAGCAGTATATTTCAAGGAGAGAATAGTCACTATTATTAGATAAAACAATGGTTGTCAAAATGTAGTCCCCAACTGGAGCAGCATCACCAGGGAACTTCAGAAATGCAGGCCGTAGAGTTACTGAATTGGATACCCTGGAGGTAGGAACCAGAAATATGTTTTAACAAACCCTGAAATCTAAAAACTATTGAGATAAATAAAGGAGTCCGGTAGAATGAGGAATCAAAGGTGTTAGGATGTTCACTAGATTTGGCAATTAAGAAGTCACGGATGCCCTCCATGAAGGTATATTCAGTGGAACAGTGAGGGCAGTACCATAACCTTTCCAGTTAGGGAATGTTTGGGAAGTGAAGAAATGTAATATGATTTTCCTTTCAAAATGCTTAGCTGAAAAGGAAAGAGAGGCCGGGCACGGAGGCTCATGCCTGTAATCCCAGCACTTTGGGACGCCAAGGCAGGGGGATCATTTGAGGTCAGGAGTTTGAGACCAGCCGGGACAACATCTCTACTAAAAATACAAAACTCCTATCTCTAGTAAAAATACAAAAATTAGCCAGACAAGGTGGCCCACACCTGTAGTCCCAGCTACTTGGGAGGCTGAGGTGGGAGGATCGCTTGAGTCTAGGAGGCAGAGGTAGCAGTGAGCCAAGACTGTGTCACTGTACTCCAGCCTGGGTGACAGAGTGAGACCTTGTCCCCCCAAAAAAAAAAAAGGAAAGAGAAAATTCTAACTTTTTTTCTTCATTTTTTTATGAAACGAGAATTTTTCTTGGTTATTTGTGATGATTCTACTGGTTTGGATTTTATTGTCTAGTTTTACTCATTCTTTTTTTTCTTTTTTAAGAGATGAGGTCTCGCTCTCTGTCATACAGGCTAGAGCAGTCATATAATCATGGCTTACTGCAACCTCAAACTCCTGGGCTCAAGTGATCCTCCCACCTCAGCTTTCTGAGCAGCTGGGACTACAGGCACACATCACCACATCCAGCTAATCTTTTATATTTTTGGTAGACCTAGGGGTTTCACTATATTGCCTAGGCTGGTCTTGAACTTCTGGGATCAAGCGATTCTCCCACCTTGGCTTCTCAAACTGCTGGGATTACAAGTGTGAGCCACTGTGCCTGGCCTCAGACAATTTTTTTTTTTTAATTTGAAGGATAATTTTTAATTTAATTTTTAATTAAATTAATTTTAAATTTTAATTTTTTGTAGTGACAGGGTCTCGCTATGTTGCTCTGGCTGGTCTCAAACCACTGGCTAGAAACCATCCTCCTGCTTCAGTCTCCAAAACTACTGGGATTACAGATGTGGACTACTGCGCCCACCCCTCTTTTATTTTTTATTTATTTATTTATTTATTTTTTAAGACAAAGTCTCACTCTATTGCCCAGGCTGGAGTGCAGTGGCACAATCTTGGCTCACTGCAACCTCTGCTGCCCAGGTTCAAGCAATTCTCCTGCCTCAGCCTCCCGAGTGGCTGGGAATTACAGGTGCGTGCCACCACACCCGGCTAATTTTTCTATTTTTAGTGGAGACAGGGTTTTATCATCTTGGCCAGGTTAGTCTTGAACTCCTGACCTCAAGATCCACCTGCCTCAGCCTCCCAAACTGCTGAGATTACAGGCTTGAGCCACCGCACCCAGCCCCTCATTTTTTTCTTATTGTGTAACTGTTTAACTTCATTTTGGTTCCCCCTAACCCTTCACAGAAACAGGAATTGAATGTGAAAGGAAGAGAGTTATAAAAATATTCCCTGCACCAATCTAGGAAGCGTATTTTCTTCTTTTGCCTGAATATCTCTATGTAGTATCTCCCACGATCCACATTTTCTATGTTACCCCAAATAATGCTCTTACTCCTGATACAAAGACATTAAGAGTTCTACATCAGATATATTCAGCATAGGAAACTTGTTCCACAGATCAAATTAATCCTTGAGAAGAAGAGTAAGGTTATCCTCATAGACAATTCCGGGGAACTATTAGCATAACACTATTACCTTTTCCCCAGAAAAGTTCACAACTTCAAAGAGGAGAGCTGTGAACTAAATGCCACACCTGAGCGCTGACAGACACCACAACCTAACGGGAGTCAGTCTTTCAAAGAAGTTCACACCAAGATCAGAAACTTAAAATAAAAGGTTTGTTTGACCCAGAATGAGTCTTTCAAACACAATTCTTATTCTGATTCTAAAAAAAAGGCAATGTAAGTTTTTAAGAAAGTAAAAATTAAATAAATAAAGGTAACATAAGCAAACAAAATTATCTTAGGAGACATTATTGAAATTTTAAAATTAACTGGATTTTTTTTTCACTCACTGAGTCTAAGATAAATCCAGCTAAGCTGATTCATTTCCTTTTAAGGAAAGACTTTACAAGAATCTCTCATGTCAGATCTCTACAACCCCCTTTCTTATTATGAGTACCAAAGAGCTGACTATGGCTAGAATTATGTCAAATAGGGTACTTAGGACATAGTCAAATGGTTAAACCTCTCTGATTGATATAATACATAGCCCATTATTTCTTCTGTTAATCTGGACCTGATTAAAATACCAGAACCTCGCCTATTCCAAACTTTTGAATAACTTCCTGCTGTTCTCAGATAATGACCCAAACCCCTTAACATGATATACAGGCCCTCTGTCATTGAGGTTGTGACTCTTCCCAAACCTCATCTTTTGGCCACTCAGGCCTCCATTTCCCACTCTGGGGTCTAGCCACAGTTACTGCTTCCAGTTTCCCGTATACCTCTTGCCTCTGTACCATTGCACCTTTGTCTGGGATGCCTCCCAGTCCCTCTCCTTTTCTCACTACATCTTTAAGCTTTAGCATAATCTCTATCAGGAAGAATAACTTCCCACCTCACCCCACTGCTTCATATTAGATTATGTGTCTGTCATCTGTATTTCTAGATTAAATACTCATCATATAATCCATCTTATAATCTATTTCTGGATATGATTTTCCCTTGAGGGTTCCTTAAGGGCTGGGAATAAATCTCATCTTTGTATTTCTAGTACTTAGCTCAGTGTCTGGCATGTGCAAATGTTTGTTAAATATTTAAGCCGAGCGTGGTGGCACGCGCCTGTAGTCCCAACAACTGGAGAGACTGAGGTGGGAGGACGGCTAGAGCCCAGGAACTCAAGGCCAGCCTGGGTTATACGGTGAGACCTCATCTCTAAAAAAATTTTAAATTAAGACACATATATGTATATATTATTTAATTGCATTTACCTTTATTTCCTCTATGTCTGCTTTCTGGAGCTTTTCTCTGAAGTGTTTATCTGTTTCCAGCACATCAATCACTTGCTTGAGATATTCATCATAATAAAGTCCAGTATCCTTCAAATTAAGAAACCAACAGTAATGCTTCTGCAGGTTTTTCCTTGTTTGAATCTAAAGAGGTCAATCCTGAGAAACAATTTCTAGCAAATGGCATTGAGACACACTTACTATGATAGTTTCAACAAAGTGAAAAAGCTGTATTTCTGAAATAAATAGTTTTATATCAGAACCAATATCATCTTTTATTGTTACATAAAGGTAGATTTTTCTTTTTTACGACACTCTGTAGTCCAGTAGATTTTCTATATGGTTCAGACAATGAAGATTTTACCATTTTGGTTTCTCCCCATTGTTATCTGTCTCTGCTTTGAATATAATACAGTGTTTTATTGGCTGGTTAGCTCTGTGTCAGAAATGTATTACAACTAATTCTCCTATTTAATATACTAACTATATTAAATAAATATTGTCTAAGGGTAAGCAGCATATGCTTGTCCAATACTCTTTTCACTGCTATTTCAGAAATAGTTTCCAAGTGTACAGTTTTATAAGTCATAAATATTACCAATATTTTCATTATAATTCCTCCCATTTCGTTTAATTATAATTTCACCTCATTTTATCTCATTTAGTTATAATTATAATTCATTTCATCTAGTTATAATTCCTCCTATTTCACTTCATTTCACTTACTGGTGGTTCTATCTTTGCACTTTCCACAGGGTGAATATTTTGTACTTTTGTCTTGTCTATGTCTATAGGCACAGCTTCAAGAGCAGTAAGTAGACATGTAATCAAGAGAAAGCAATACTGTAGCAGGATGGTCCTCCACCTCATCTGAAATAAAGAAATAATTATGGTAAAGTCATGAAAAGATGTTTTAACACTATATACAAGCATTCCAAATGTCACAATCATATACTTAATCTCAAGAGGTTTAATAAAACAAAAAAATCATAGGAAAGGGAAAAAATAGATTATAACTTGTCAAAAATAATGCTTAAAATAAATCACTAAAGAAAATCAAGGGAGAAATGTTTTTGTAGCCAAAATTAAAAAGACAGAATACAATATTTTAAAGTTTATACTGTTTTTTTGTTTGTTTGTTTGTTTGTTTGAGATGGAGTTCACGCTTGTTGCCCAGGCTGGAGTGTAACGGTATGATCTCGGTTCACCACAACCTCCGCCTCCTGGGTTCAAGGGATTCTCCTGCCTCAGCCTCCCGAGCAGCTGGGATTACAGGCATGCACTATCAGGCCTGGCTAATTTTGTATTTTTAGTAGAGACAGGGGTTTCTCCATGTTGGTCAGGAATGGTCTCGAACTCCCAACCTCAGGTGATCCACCTGCCTCGGCCTCCCAAAGTGCTAAGATTACAGGCATGAGCCACTGCGCCCTGCCTATACTGTTTTTACACTATAAGAAAACATTTGGTTAATTACAAAAGCTTCAATCTAGCCATGGCCTTTTTTCTTTTTCTTTTTTTTTTTTTTTTAAGGCAACACATTTTACCCACAAAATACCATTTGGAAAAGAACACATAACCCCATTTTCACCACAGCCCTAGGTGGCACATACACAGGAGAGTGACACATTTTACAAATGAAGAAATTAATTATTAAACCAATTCCCTTACAGAGCATTGTCTTGCCATTAACAAACCACTAAAACTCACATTTTACTATCTTTATACCCATTTTTTTAGCATCTTTATTGAGATATACTTCACATGTCATAAAATTCACCCATTTAAGTATAGGATATGTCTAATCTATAAAGATGCTACCCAAAGTTTAGTTCTCAATCTTACAAAATCAGATCATCTGAAAGCACATCAGAAATGCAAATTCTCAGGCTGTACCCAAAACCTCTGGGGTGGGGGCCAGGAACCTGTTTTAACAAACAGGGGGGTCCAGGGGGTTCCTATGTATACTAAAACCTGAGATCCACTCTTCTCTAGGATACTAGAATCTCTAATAGGGTAGTACACTTCACAGAATGTCTTCTCACTATGAATCACCTCCTCTTCCCCACAAATACTTGTAATAACAAAAAAGGTTTATTACTCATTCATGCTTCATGTCCACACATACTTAGGTGTGCATTTCGGGTTTTTTGAGATATAACTCATAAGCCATAAAATGTTTTAAATTATACTATTCAGTGTTTTCTAGAATATTCAAAAGGCTGTGCAACCATCTCTACTATCTAATTTTAAAACATTTTCATCATCTCAAAAAGAAACCCTATAACCATTAGCAGTCACTCACTGTTACCCTTTTTTCCCATCCCCTGGCAACCACTAATTTCCTTTCTAGCTGTATAGATTTGCCTATTTTGGTCATTTCATATAAATGGGATTATACAATATGTAGCCTTTTGTGTCTGCCTTTTATCACTTAGCAGTATGTTTCCAGGTATAACCACATTGTAACAAGTATCAGGACTTTATTTCTTTTTTATAGCTGAATAGATAGTCTATTGTATAGATATGCCACATTTGTTTATCCATTCATGAATTGATGGACATTTGGATTGTTTCTTTCAGGAAGTTTTGAATAATACTTCAGTGAACATTTGTGTTCAAGTTACTGTGTTAACAGGTTTTCAATTCTTTTGGTTATATAACTAGGAGTAGAATCACTGAGTCCATTTGGTAACTCTAAGTTTAACTTTTTGAGGAACTGCCAAACTGTTTTCCAAAGTAGCTATACCATTTTACATTCTCACCACTTATATATGAGGGTTCTAATTTTTCCATATTCTTCCATGTGTTTTTGTCACTTCTGCTGCTCTCCTCTTCTGCCAAGTCTACCATAAATAAGAAGAAAAGTCAAGAGAATGTATTTGTATACATCAGTGTGTGTGTGTGTGTCCTAACAACACCTGACAACATTTTTTTTTTTTTTTTTTTTTGAGACAGAGTCTCGCTCTGTCGCCCAGGCTGGAGTGCAATAGCCCGATTTCGGCTCACTGCAACCTCCATCTCCCAGGTTCAGCAATTCTCCTGCCTCAGCCTCCTGAGTTGCTGGGACTACAGGTACTCACCACCTGTAGTGAGTTTTTTTTGTATTTTTAGTAGAGACAGGGTTTCACTATGTTGGCAAGGCTGATCTCGAACTCCTGACCTCAGATGATCCACCCACCTCGGCCTCCCAAAGTGCTGAAATTACAGGCATGAGCCACTGCACCTAGCCTCTGACAATATCTTGAAGCTACAAAGTCACAAAAAGTTTCTGAGAAACTACTTTAAAACTCTTAACTGAACTTATGGTTCCTAAAGATTTAATTGATCCCCAAGCTTTATTATAAATAACAACAGAAACCATCTATTGAATGTTTACTATGTACCAAGCAGTATGCTAAACTTTTAAAAAATATTAACACATCAACTCTTACAATGACTCTGTGAAGTCAATATTATTATCCCCATTTCAAAGTACAAGAAACTGAGACATATCACTTCTAGTTCACACAGCAGTCAGTCACACAGCCAGAGTGTAGACCTGGGGGTGACTGACTCCAAAGCCTCTGCTGGCTTTCCAGGAGTGGTTCTCAAAGTATGGTCCCTGGGACAGCAGCATTGGCATCACCTGGGAATTTGTTAGAAATGCAAATTCTCAAGGCCTACTCCATATTTTCTAAATAAGAGGCTCTGGGTATAGGGGGCCTCACAATCTGTGTTTTAATAAGCCCTATAGGTGATTCTGATACATGCCAACATTTGAAAACCACTGCCCTAGAACATACTGCCTCCCTTTGCTCTATTATTTACCAGCCTCACCTACAATGAGAGACAAAGAGAATGCCCATCTCAAAGGTAAACTTGGATCCTTAAAAAACAGAAAGTGGGAAAAAAGAGAAATAGAAAGTGGGTTTTATACCAAGCAGTAAGGCAGAACTAAATTTAGGTCTGTATTCTAATTCCAGCTGCACCACTTACTTGCTTTGTGATCACAGGTTAGTCAATTAACTTTTCCCACTTTAGTTCCCTCATTTATAAAAATTTTAAAAAAATTTAAATAAGAGAATTTAACTTGAACTTAGTATTACTTAAGTACTTAAATTATATTATCTATTTATTCTTCTGAGTACAGATCTTTCCCGTTACCTAATCAGAAATACTTAAAAAAAAAGAAGAAGAAAAGTTGCTTGTACTCACACCATTCATTTAAAATGATTAAGTTATATGACTTGTAAATGCCTTTAAACTAAATATTGCTTATTCAGCTAGCTTAAAATTATATTGGTAAAGCAAGTGGCAGGCCTGGGTGCTGAGATACAAGGATTAACAACAAGGAAAATCAACTAGCAAAGAAAGTTCATATCTAGACACAATAAAAATGATATAAAGCCAGGAAAGTTTCACACTTTGGAAACAAAATACGGAACATTATCCTCTCTAATCAAACTGAGTATTTGCTTCTGTGGAAGCAGAAACAAAGCTCCTCCTTGATTTCAGGTTTAGAGATTGTCAGACTTACATTTCATTCAAGTTGCATTTATTTTTAACTTTTGCAAGAAAGAGGACAATGAATTGTGACCGCCATTTCAAAGCCAAAAACTTTCACTTTTTGATAATTTTAAAGGACAAAAGACTGATTTTTTTTTTTTTAATGCAGTCTTACTCTGCCACCCAGGCTGGAGTACAGTAGCATGATCTTGCCTCACTGCAACCTCTGCCTCCCGGGTTCAAGTGATTACCCTGCCTCAGCCTCCAGAGTAGCTGGGATTACAGGTGTAGGCCACCACACCCGGCTAGTTTTTGTATTTTTAGTAGAGACAGAATTTCACCATGTTGGCCAGGCTGGTCTTGAACTCCTGATCTGCCCGCCTCAGCCTCCCAAAGTGCTGGGATTACAGGCATGAGCCACTGTGCCTGGCCCAGAAGATTGATTTTTTTTTTTCTTTTTTCTTTTTTGAGACAGAGTCTCACTCTGTTGCCTAGGCTGGAGTGCAGTGGCGTGATCTCAGGTCACCACAACCTCTGCCTCCCAGGTTCAAGCGATTCTCCTGCCTTAGCCTCTTGAGTAGCTGGGACTACAGGTGTGCGCCACCATGCCTGGCTAATTTTTGTATTTTTAGTAGAGATGGGTTTCACTATGTTGGTCAGGTTGGTCTCAAACTCCTGACCTCGTGATCCGCCTGCCTTGGCCTCCCAAAGTGCTGGGATTACAGGCGTGAGCCACCATGCCTGGCCAAGACTGATATTTTTAAGGAGAAGTCTGTTTAAAAATAAAATACAACAGAACTGATTAATAGTAAATACAGCCAGAAACAAGAAGACACATATTACATGATTCAATTTATATAAATGTTGAAAATAGGCAAATCCACAGAGAAAGAAAGCAGATGACAGGTTGTTGAGGGTTGCTGGTGGAGGGAGGGGAAAATGAGAAACAAGTGCTAAATGGGTACAGGGTTCCTTTTTGGGGTGATGAAAATATTCTAAAATTAAATCATTGAGATGGTTACATAACCTTATGAATATACTAAAAAACAGTGAATTGTACACTGTAAAAGAGAGAATTGTATGATACATAAGTCATATTTCAATTTTTTAAAAAAGAGTGAAAATAGAGCAAAAAAATCCAAGCTTATAAAATGTGAAAATTTTTTAAAATATAATTTATGAACCACTATTAACCTTCTACACTAGTCATGTTTATAATTTTTCAAAATTATCCCATTTTCTATGTTCTTAATGATTTTTGTTTGCTTGTTCTACAATCACTAGAAAAGCATGTGAAAATCTTACATCCTGATTTTGTCTGTTTTTCCTTATAATTCTGTTAATTTTTATTCAAATATTAGGTATACATAAATTTAAGATTTTCT